GCTTCACGATTGGCTAGATAGCATCGACTAGGGATTTGAGATGCCTTTTTGTAGCACCATAGGGAATGGTTAAAAAGAAGACACAGAGTTGTGCTTGATTTTCATTGTCAATGATAATTTGATCTAAATTTTGAAAATGCATTTGGTTAGAAATTCATTTTCTAAAGTTATTCCAAGCAGCCTTCAAAATCTAATTTGGGAGAGAAACAACATAGTTACTCCTTTATAAAGAATTTTGATTAATCTTGGATAATGAGAAAACATAGAGATATGCGACGATTAGGTGACTTCGAAGGAAACAAACATGGTTGCATTACTATTCTGTAAAAAGTTTCATCAAATCAACATTAGGTTTTGTATAGGGTTCCCAGACAGATTTGAGGGAGAGTAGTCCGTCTAGATTCCGTTTCTGTTTCCGCCTGGACAGCTATCTAAGATTCTGCAACCTTCCAGTTGCGTCGGTTGGACGAAATAATCACTTACCTACCAATTTTTGCATTCCGCTTCCATGGTTTTCCTTTAGATGTTGCTTCAGGTCTAGAGAGCCATTTTATTTATAAAGATTATGAAGGATAACAAGTCTGATGATCAAACTATCGGGTTTGGGTCATTTCTTTACAATTTTGGAACAAGTGTTTTGTAAATGAAACTATGGAAAAATGTTTATTAGTTATGTATTGCTTGCCCTAAACAAATACTCCGTACTATGCAGTGGCATGTGTAGGCAGCGGTCACTTTTTCTACAGAGCATACACACTCCCACACTTGCAGTGGCATGTGTAGATACCCTTTTTCCCTTTACATGTTTATCAATGTTCCTTTTGTTTATTGAAAGGGACTCAAAGTGTGTGTGCACCCATCCTATCCAGACTCCAATCAATGTGATTTTATTGAGTTTGTTGATATTTTCCCAGCTCATAGTTAACCAGCAAGCTATTTTGACACAGACACAATTGTTTTAGCTTTGAAGGGCGTTGCAGAGATTTTAAAGATTTTAACAGTAGGCTTCAAACTTTTCGAACAGTAGGCTTCAATATTTTCACAGTAGGCTTCATATATTGGAATAAGACTATACACATGTGCTTCTATATATTAATTATTTTTGATAGATGAATGAAATGTTATTTATTTTACAGGGTTCTCTATGTTTGGCATTCCTTTTATCCTCTTTCTAACAGGTGATTTGCTTACACAAATTCTACTTTGATCAGTTTGATGGTTAGAAATGAAATAAAATGTATAAAGTCATACTTTTTTACCAAGCCGCTGAGTGCTCTATATGTTCTAATATTGTCTTACTCTTATGAGTCCATTCAATGCTCTGTCTATTCTATAATGTCTTACTCTCTTACTCAGCAAATTCCTATATTGAAATTCATGCATATGGAATCGATGTTCCATTGTTAGTTATAGGCTCATTATTTTTCCAGTTTCAAATCAGAGAAGGGTCACCTGGTTTCCGGACCTTATAGTTTTGAAGTGTCACGTGTTTTCGGCACCAATTTTATTACTCTGTATTTTTCAAATTCAAATCCAACATTATTTTTTTACTAAATCACGACTGTCATATTTTTAATTTCTATTTTTTGTTTAGCCTGAAAGATTGAATATATGAGTTGTGTTGTTAAAATGAAAAAATTTCATCAAAATTGATAAGCACTAGCATCAAAAAATATTTAGATTTTAAAATTATAGGTGGGGATTGTGTTTGATTCTTGATGATGAATCTGTTTAAATTAGATTTCTTCCATTAGATTTTCATTTCTCCTCTTGGTAAGGAATAAATGTATCCCTATCATCAAATATGTTGTTATTTATGCTTGCCTCTTTTTCATTTTATGTTGTTCTGGAATTCATACTTTTTGTTCCTAATTCATTTTTGTTCCCTAGGGTTGGTGTCAACTAGCTTTTGAATATAGAAAGGAAGTATATGCTTATATTTACTTTGTTTTTTACAGTAGGTTTTCTTCTTTTATTTTTAAAGCTATTCTCGACGAGTAAATATGAACTATGATAGTTTGAGGCTATTCTTCTGTTATTGATATTTTTTGAGTTTAAGGACTT